AAAGTTATTGTAGGTTTGTGACCTTTTCCAATTGTTTTTTGGTTCGATTTTGATAAATTCTCGTCTCCAGGTAGTAAATCCATGTAGCTGAGAACCTTTTCATGTTTATTTTGTCCAAAGATGCATTATTTAATGGCCAGATTGTCTAGCGGTCCTCCCTTATCTTCAGTTCTGTGCATTGTTTTTATCGGTTTTCATGATCCCTGTTAATTTCGGCCCTATTTTTGACTTGAAGTCATTTTTTATACGTTTTGCGGTGTGCAATAGCTGTACAAAAAGCATATTGTCACGGGATTGTCCGTGTGTGTGTTTCTGTGTATTTGTATGTTTGTGTGTGTGTATGTGTGTCTCTCCGCAGCGACTTGTTTGGTCTGTAAACTCGTAGGGATCTGTTATTAAAAAATCGGGGTTTTTTATGCGTTTTTTGCAGCTATAAAATGCAGAAAACGCATATTGACGAGAAGTTGTTTGTGTGTGTGTGTGTGTGTGTGTGTCTGTGTGTGTTTGTGGGTGTGTCTGTATGTTGTTTGTGTGTGTGTGTGTGTCTGTGTGTGCGCTGCGCGTCTGTACCAAGTTCTTTTTCGTCAAAACAAGTCGGTATTTTGAAATTTCGATGTTTCACGTGTACGGATACGATCGAAACAGCATCATGTTGAATTTTGCATCATTTAGATTGGCATCAGTTTTCTGTGATAAGTTATCACCTACGTATGAGAATCAATCTAAAAAGACATAGAAGGGAGAAACAGAGAAAAAGAGCAAGCTGCACAGAGTTTGGCTACTACTGCAGGAATTGCTTTGATTGTTCTGTCACCAAAATAATTTCTACTTTCAAGCCTATAGATATATGGTTGTCTTCTTCCTCGCTTCTTTGGAGAAGTCGCTGAATGAATTCTAGAAATAAATATGTATGTTTATCCATTTAAAATATATGAAGAACGTTGAGATTGCCAGCAGGCTGACCGGTGATATAGCACTGATCAAGTAACTGGATGATAGTTCCCAACCACACTGAGAATGCAGGGCTTATTCTGGGTGATAGCAATTATATATGAATCTATGAAAATCTTTGAAGTGGGAGCCAAGGTGTGGGGGGGG